TAGTATGTCTATTATTGGAAGATAAATCTCAAGTTTTCTAGAACAATCCTCTTCTACTGGCTACAGAGAAATAACGCTAACAAGATTGAGTTTAAAGGATTCATAAAAGAGGCTCTCTCAATTCAAATATCATAAAGATTGCTGAATATAATGTTTATTATAGTTAATTAACTTTATTATTAACAATTACTAGATTTTTTTTCACTTATAGTAATTTTCTATTAAATAAACATTAGATAAAATTATACTGACCACAGGGAAAAAACACTAACAAGATTGAGTTTAAAGGATATAAAAGAGACTCTCAATTTACATATTATAAAATTGCTATGAATATAAAGGCTATTATAGTTTATTTACATGTTTATAGAATATAAAAACTACTATAGTTGAAAATCTAGTAATTGTAAATAAGAAATAGATGAAAATTATACTGACTACAGGGAAAAAGCACTAACAAGATTGAGTTTAAAAGATATAAAAGAGGTTCTCAATTTACACACACACACACACATATCATAAAGATTGCTGAATATAAAGGTTATTATAATTATTTAACATGTTTATAGAATAGAAAATTACTATAGTTGAAAATATATTCATTGAAAAAAAGAAATAGATAAAATATACTGGCTATAGGGGAAAAAAACACTAACAAGATTGAGTTTAAAGGATATAAGAGGCTCTCAATTTACATTTACTTGTACATATGAAGATTGCTGAATATAAAGTTTGTCATGGGTAATTAAAATGTTTAAAAGAATAGAAAAACAACTATAGTTGAAAATATATTCATTGAAAATAAGAAATAGATAAAATATACTGGCTATAGAGAAAAAACGCTAACAAGATTGAGTTTAAAGAATATAAAAGAGGCTTTCAATTTACATAATATAAAGATTGATAAATATAGCGTTTATTATAAATAGTTTTCATGTTTATTGAATAGAAAAAAAACAACTATAGTTGAAAATCTATTCATTGAAAATAAGAACTAGATAAAAATTATACTGACTACAGAGAAAAAAAACGCTAACAAGATTAAGTTTAAAGGATATTATAAAAGAGGTTCTCAATTCATATTTCATATAGATTGCTGAATATAAAGTTTATTATGGGTAATTAAATTGTCTAAAGAATAGAAAAACTACTCTAGTTGCAAATCTAGTAATTAAAAATAATAAATTGTTAAAATTATACTGGCTACAGAGAAAAAAACGCTAACAAGATTGAGTTTAAAGGATACAAGAAGATGAATACAACGTTTATTTTAGTTAATTAACATGCTTATAGAATGAAAAACAACTATAGTTGACTACAGGGAAAAACGCTGACAAGTTTGAGTTTAAACGCTAAAGGATATGGAGGCTCTCAATTTACATATCATGGAGATTGCTGGATATAAAGGTTATTATAGTTAACATGTTTATAGAATAGAAAAACTAGTTGAAAATCTAGTAATTAATGATTAGAAATAGATAAAAATTACAGTAGCTACAGGGAAAAAACATTAACAAGATTGAGTTTAAAGAATATAAAAGAGGCTCTCAATTTACATATAATAAAGATTGCTGAAAATGACGTTTATTGTGGCTATTTAACATGTTTATAGAATAGAAAAACTACTATAGTTGAAATATAGTAATTGTAAATAAGAAATAGATAAAAAGTATACTGACTACAGGGAAAAAAACGCTAACAAGATTGAGTTTAAAGGATATTATAAAAGAGGTTCTCAACTCACATATCATAAAGATTTCTGAGTATAACGTTTATTATGGGTAATTAAATTGCCTAAAGAATAGAAAAACTACTATAGTTGCAAATCTAGTAATTAAAAATAAGAACTAGATAAAATTATACTGGCTACAGAGAAAAAACGCTAACAAGATTGAGTTTAAAGGATACAAGAGGATGAATACAACGTTTCTTTTCGTTAATTAACATGCTTATAGAATGAAAAACAACTATAGTTGAAAATATTTTCATTGAAAATAAGAAATAGATAAAAATTATACTGACTACAGAGAAAAAAACGCTAACAAGATTAAGTTTAAAGGATATTATAAAAGAGGTTCTCAACTTACATATAAGATTGTTGAGTATAACGTTTATTTTAACGATCATTTTTTACAGCGAGTCATTGAAACGTGGTGAATTGAACAAATTATTGGTTGATGTAGTTATATTTTTTCCAAACGTTTATTTTAGTTAATTTACATGTTTGCAGAAAAGAAAACTAGTTAAAAATCTATTAATATTGAGGGAATAAGACATAGATAAAATCATATTAGAGAGAAATAGATACCTTTGAAAAAATGGATGCTACTCATTGAGAATTAAGAAATTTGGGTTGAATTGAGGGTAAAGCGACAGGGAGTCTTGCGCAACGTTAGATAAATTAAGTGATTATTTAGTGATTGATGTGATAGTTTCATCTTACTATATCTTTATTTATAACCAGGGCTATAGTTTGATTATGTAAATAGGAACTATTTGCATATTTTAACGACTTAAGTTTTATATTTTGTGTATACGGGGTTGTGTGATAATAAAACTACGATATTTATTCTTTGTGTTGAGTTTAGAACATTCTTTTTTTTTCACTTTATTCTAGCTTCATTCCTCTATAGTTGTAATTACTGAAATTTCTCTCTTCCTCATGATGCGAATTCTTTCTTTGATAACAATTTTTGCAACGTATTCCAGAATACAACAATTTATGACTTTGTTAACAATGGTTGCAACGTATTCTAGAATACAACAATTCATAACTTTGATAGCAATGGTTACAACGTATTACAGAATACAACAATCCTGGCTTTGATAACAATGATATCAACGTATTCCAGAATCCAAAAATTTATGGCTTTGCTAACAATGATGGCAACATATCAAAGAATCTAGTAATTTCTGGCTTTGATAAAAATGGTTTCAACGTATTACAGAATCCATAAATTTTTGGCTTTGTCAACAATGGCTGCAACATTTTACAGAATTAAGCAATTTCTGGATTTGATAACAATGTCTGCAACATAGTTCAGAATCCATCAATTTCTGGATTTGTTAACAATGTTTGCAACGTATTAACGAATTCAGAAATTTCTGGCTCTGATAAAAATAGTTGCAAAATTGTACAGAATTGGGCCATTACTCCCTTTTTTAACAATGGTTTTCCAACATAATATAGAATTCAGCAATTTCTGTCTTTGTTAACAATGGGTGTAACCTATTATAGAATCCAAAAATGTCTGGCTTTGATAACAAAGGCTGCAACATATTCCGGGAATCCAGCATTTTTTTTTCATTTTGAAAATAATGAGAATGAAATATATTTAAATATCTAGAACCCTCCCTGTATAGCCCGTACAGACTATAACAATCTATACAATCAGCCGGCACTTCTATAGAATACTGGTTACTACGTTTAGTGAATCCGGCTTGGAACCTACTGGAAGTACTGATTATATTCAAACGATATACCACAGGCTTGGTCCTCTAAAAATTGTTGGTGGAAACAGTCCAGAATCCGGGCAGAACACTTTACGATTAGTCCTCTTGAACTTGAACCTATTTAGGAGCATTGACTAGAATCAACCCACAATTCAAGCCGGACCTTTTAGGTAATGATTGTTACAAACAGTCTAGAATCCAGGCTTGGTCTTCATATCAATACTTGCTACGATGTAAATATATCCTAGAACCAATCTAGAAGCACTGACCAACGTCAATACAAAACCGAAGCCTGGAAGAAGCAGCTGCAACCAGTCCAGCAGAATCCAGGCTTCTTGTCCAGTCGAGCCTCTCCCTCCCACCCGAGGCCCCCTCCCCGCCGTATGGTGTCTCTTCCTGCACGTGGCCCCTTCCGCCCGGGGCCCCTCAGCTGACCGGCGGGCGTCACGCTCCACGGCCAGGGGCCTAAGACAAAGGCATCGTCTTCTTCAACTTCTCTTCTTACTGAGCGTTATGGCATTCTCTCTTTGTTTGTCAGCATCCCCTTGTTCTGCGGTATGGCTGAATAGATTGAAGGACATGCAATTTTTATACAGTATTGCAAAGAACGTTGTAAAGATCTCCATAACTATATATCAGATCGTCATTCTTTGATACCAAGCGAATACACTTTTCTCTACAAACATCCTTTCTATTCTAAACATAGTTAACACATTTTACTTTTCTCAATTAGATGACTTTTAAAACTGGTTCATTCTCTACAATTTTTGTAGATTTTTCATATTTTTTTCTTTGTTTTTAGATTTGTTACTAAAGAGATAGTAGTTTGAAATATCACAAACACATATAGAGTAAAGTATTTTAGGTCGCATTAATAACATTCTAGTCACTAGTGGTAGTCTAGTTATTGCTATATACTATTACTCTCTATTCGAACATAGTTACAAAAATGCCTATATATGTTTTTATATGGGCGCTTTTAAAGATGAAAATTTCATAGTTAAACAATATGTATATTGAGATAAGAACTTTGCATATATTTATGAGACCAAAACATAATAAAAGTTCTGACAGATTATAATTTTGATCGTTTTTTAATAGTTGTTAAGAACAAACTGATAGTATTTAAGCCTTATTTTTATATTTGGATCTTTATTCATATTTAAGAAAATTCTATATATTCCCATTTATATATAATTTTAAACGAAAATCTGCTTTCATTATCTCAATGAAAAATATTAGCGACACTTAGCAAGTGACAAACCTTCTTAATTGGTAAAATTAATTCTTATAAGCTTATTGGAATAAAATTTACATATAGTGTGAAGGGGGTTCTTATTTGCATATTACTATCTGAATCAAAAGGATTTTCTAAAATAGAGAACATACAATTATTTATATGTAGAATGACATTTATCCCGCATGTGTTTCTTTTGAACGAAAAATCGAAATTTATTTTAATAGAGCAATAACGATTATTTCTAACCTTAGAGATGAAGTATGAAAGGATGAATTGTGAAGAGTAATTATAAACGGAAAAATAAAAGTGTACAGTGATGAGAATCGAACCCACAGTGTTCCGCTTAATGGGAAGATGCCATGTCCACTAGGCTACCCTGGACATATTTCTCCGTTCGTAAATATTATATAAAGTAATTTATAATACAATATAATGCGGCTTATGATTGTAGAACGACATTTGAAAATTATCCCGCATGTGAGAAACACATGCGGGATAATTATATATTGTATTATAAATTATTTATATACCATATCTCCTTTTTAACAAACTATTGCTTCATCTCTACACCAAATACATGGGCCAGATGTCTTCCAAATCTATCCACTACAATCCTCCATGGCCCAAGGCCTTTGTCATTACTCCGAGAACAAGTTCTTCAGGAAAAAAGAAGAAGTAGCTTGGAAGATTAGTTAAGGAGAGAGAATTGCAGAGGAAGTTGAAATATTTCTGAATACCCACCTGTTCCAGGACACGGAAATGGTACAGAAGTTGGCGACCCTTTTTTTCTTTCTGTAATTCTATGGGGATGGTCAATCCATTTAGGAAACTGATCAGCAAAGTAAATTCTCGAAGAATTACTAGAAGGTTTTGGGCATTTTGAAGCTGCTGGCTTACATCAATATGATATTTAAGCATAAAACTAATTTTACATCCAGAAATCACACAAACCTAGAATAGAAGCCCAAATATTAATGACATCTAGGATTTGATTTCAAATGAAAAGTTATTTCCGCAAACATTTATAATGTTATTTTTTTCTCACTCTTATCCAAAGTATACATGAAAATTAGAAACTATTTTAGACACGTAGGATTCTTTTTTGAAATCAAACAATTTCTACTGCCCTTACCTAAAGTATACATGGTATAGAGCATGATAATTATGGTGGGTATATATAGTTTGCAAATACTTTAACTGTAAGTGCAATACACACATGTCTAAACATGTAGAAAGCGCAGTTCGACTTTTGAATTCACAAGTATGTCAGAGATTCGTTTGGTTATACTTGCACTCACTGGTGGTATTGGACTTGTAAAAAATGGAGGCAATTAAAGCCATTTTTTTTTCTACAGAAACAAGGGCTCTTTGCGGGATTTTATCTTAGGTCGTGGCTGCTGAAAACTCGCAGTTTAAGTTCTTCCTCCACCATCCTTCTGATGTTTCTCTTAATAATATATACAACAACAAAGCTTTTATTAGGGATACTCGTCCCATACAGAATTCTTCTAGAGGGCTAAACAGAAGCGACATTTATCTACAGAAAGTGGAGTACAACATTAATCTTTTTTTTTCAAGTTGGGTCCCTCTCCTGTATTACGCTTTTTGACTGTGCTGTTCTCGAGAATTTGTGAAAATCCGATGTATTGGTCTTACTTTTCACTACTTTTCTAATAAAAACATATGGCGAACTGCCTTTATAACGAATTATAATTACAGTCATAAATTAACACCCAAGTCTCTCTAACATACGAGATTGAAGAAATTGTAGAAGAAATTGAAAGTATATGGATAGTAGACTGCCTAGACCAAAGTCAGTCTGTACACCAGTGCTGTGGTATACTCCGATGGATTTTGTGGTTACCTAACCTAAACGAAGGTTTTACGCCTGCAGACGAAACTACATTCCTATCCTAGTTTCCAGCAAATAGGAATGGTACACGCTCGTGCACCGAGCGACAATTTGGTATGGACCCTCGCACCCACTCTTAAGATCTAGCTCTGTGAGGTAGATCAGTCAGTATACAGGCGTCTACAGGAGTCGATCATGGTCGCAGTCCGGGCCATCCTGCTTGTAGTTGGGTAAACCCGTCCTACGCTCCTATAAGACTCCACCTCTCTCTTAGTCCTTGTGCCCTTTCCCTGAATCTGTCAACGAGTCAGGACCCTCTGAAGTACATAGTTGATGCAGGGAACCTTGCAAGAGTTGTGCGATAAGGTTGTCTCAAAATTCATAAACATATTATGATTTATATTCTGCAAGTGTTTACGAACTTTTGGGACAACCTTGTAATTCTGAAACTTGTCCCACCTGCTGATTGACCACCCTTGATATAGAGTTTGGTGGAGAATCGCCAGTGGGTCTCCAGCGACACCACGAATTTCGCGATCTACGAAGAATACGTAGATCGCGTACTCCTCGTACGTTTCCTTCCCTTGATATAGAACATCAGGGATTAAATCATTCTTCTATAAGAATTCTGTTATAATTTTACCAAGGTTACCAATATTACCAAGGTTGTCTCAAAAGTTCGTAAACACTTGCAAAATATAAATCATAATATGTTTACGAACTTTTGGGGCAACCTTATACTTCTGTGTACACTCTCCTTGTTGCTGGTGTATACAAGAAAATGATCGAACGCTAGGAAAGGTATTTATACATTGAAATCCTATATTGATTTGAATAGTTGCTATATTGAAATAAAGCGCCTTCTGTGGTGTAATAAATAAAACTATTCAGCGCATATTTTTACTTTAAAAAATAACACAACTTCCTATTGTCTTCAACACGCAAACTTGTATATTTATCTCTTAACAAAATAGAATAGTGTGTCAATAAAATCATTTTCCATTCATACTGCGATTGTAAAAAATTGTGGGAGAGCCTCTTGGTTAAGTTTTAAAAGAAAACTATAAGAATTAATCCTTAAAGCTTTTATTCATAGTTTCCTTGAAAACTTTATCAAGACTTTTTTTTCCTGTTCAAATCACATTAATAGGTATCGCTCAGCAAGAGCAACCTAGTTCATGATAATTGAAACAGTGAAAAATATGTGAAGGTTATTCACATATTAAACAAAGTTTTAACACGGGATTCAATCCCGGTTCATGACTCTCGGGAATCGAGGGTGTTACCCACTCGTCCACCGACTTTTTATTGATTTATTTTCAGTACCGGATGTATATGCAAAATATCCCTATAGAATATTAGAATGGTATTTAAATATTAAACTGGCGAAACCATCGGGAGAGTTCGCCACTGATTAGCCAAGTACTCCCAATATTTTTCCATTGAAGGATGAATTGAATTAGCCAAGTTATTCAGTGGTGAAACTTACCAGCAGTTTCATCAGTTTAATGCAGGTTCTAATATCATTTCGGGTTATTCTCCTTATATACCCGCCATATTTTATAGAATATTTCTTGGTTAAGTTAATTAAAGAAACTATGAACATTAAGGACAATAGTTTAACTGCTCATAAACTCCGTAAGTACTTTAACCAAGAGGCCTTTCCAATATTTTTCCATCTTAGTATGGATAAGAGAACTTTTTTTATATTTAAATATAAAAACTCTCTAAATAGCATAGTTTTAGTTCTTATATTCTATTGGTTGAGATTTTAAAATATTTCCCCCAAACTTGGTGTCATTTAAGTTGCTTAGGTTTTCCACAATTTTATGATATTGTAGTTGGTTATTTCAAAAGAGCATCTAAAACATAATCCAATTTTTTTAGCACAGCGCTATAGTATAGAGAGCGCTCCATTTTTGAAGAAACAATTTTAGTGCTTTATTAAAAATAATTAACAAACGTTTGTATAAATCATGGGTACAATATATGTATCCTTGTATATTTATCGTAATGATAGAGGCTGCCTGGCCGGCATTCATTGTTCTTCAAATAAAATACATTTGCGCTAGTAAATCTTTTTTATTGTCGCGACGTTTCGACAAAAATCTTTTGTCCTCGTCAGGAACGAACAAAAATTAAAACAAATTTGGCAAAGCGTTAGATATTATGAGCCTTAGAAAATAATTTCTAACCCTTTGCCAAATATTTCAATTTTTGTTCGCTCCTGACGAGGACAAAAGATTTTTGTCGAAACCTCGAGACAATAAAAAGATTTACTTGCCGAAGTGTCTTGTATATTTATGTTGTGCCCGTTGAGGTGCGATTAGCCCGAAAGGTAGTACAACAGTTTATAAATTAAGTAAACATTTCTTCCTGTATCTCTTTATCTTTTTTGTGATATTTCTCTTCTATACTAAATATAGTTAGGGTAGAGTATAATTATACTAGGCGTGGCTGCTTCAGAAGTTGGTCACTGGATCATATCATAGCCTAGTTTTTAGTTCCGCCTTGCACTATACACGCTCGCAGTAGGGATAAACGTGGCTGTTCCAGTTGTTGGGTTACTGGAAGTTGGAGAGATTGGTTATTTCCGCACTATATATTGGACCTAGTCAACATTAACAAACACAGTATGAACAAACATCTCCTCGTGTACTTTCTTTATTTGAACTAACTCTTGGCAAATTTTCAGGAGAAACTTTCTTCAGAAAATGGAGACTAGGTGTAAAACTAAGCGGAAAACTAGGTAGGAACGTGTAAATAGGTAATGAGGTAAAAGTACGTTAAAAGACGGGGAATATAGGATCGATAATGGGGTAAGTGAACGTTGAATACGGGGAATATAGGATGAGTAATGGGTAAGTGAACGTTAAAGACGGGGAATATAGGATGGGTAATGGTGTAAGTGAACGTTAAAGACGGGGAATATAGGATGGGTAATGGTGTAAGTGAACGTTAAAGACGGGGAATATAGGATGGGTAATGGTGTAAGTGAACGTTAAAGACGGGAATATAGGATGGGTATTGGTGTAAGTGAACGTTAAAGACGGGGAATATAGGATGGGTAATGGTGTAAGTGAACGTTAAAGACGGGGAATATAGGATGGGTAATGGTATAAGTTACGTTAAAGACGGGGAATAAAGGGATGGGCAATGGGGTAAGTGAACGTTAAAGACGGGAAATATAGGATGGGTAATGGGGTGAGTGAACGTTAAAGACGGGGAATATAGGATGGGTAATGGAGTAAGTGAACGTTAAAGACGAGGAATATAGGATGGGTAATGGTGTAAGTGAACATTGAAGACGGGGAATATAGGATGGGTAATGGTGTAAGTGAACGTTAAAGACGGGGAATATAGGATGGGTGATGGTGTAAGTTTACGTAAAGACGGGGAATATAGGATGGGTAATGGTGTAAGTGAACGTTAAATACGGGAATAGAGAATGGGTAAGGGTGTAAGTTTACGTTAAAAACGGGGAATATAGGATGGGTAATGGTGTAAATGAACGTTAAAGACGGGGAATA